AAAAAAAAAAAAAAAAAAAAAAAAAACCTAGTATTTCAAAAAATTCCGTTGCCGGGACTTGAACCCGGGTCTCTCGGGTGAGAGCCGAGTATCCTGACCAACTAGACTACAACGGAGAGCTAATCTTTAATACACAAGTACAATATTTGGAGAAAAAAGTATTAAAATTTCAAAGCTTATATGAAAAGTGTGCATGGGTTAAGCCAGCCCATGAGCAACCGACTGTCACATTTAAAAATATGGGGCGATTTGGCTATTATCAGTTTATCACCATATATTGGGTTACAGAAACTCAACGAGGCTGCCCAATCAAAGAAAACTTAGCCACTAGCTAGTGGTACAAATAATTACACTTGGCATATTATTCATACAAGTATACAACTATTACAAGTATGTCATCAACATTTAAGTAGTGTCGGCAATAAGCAATGAGCATATATAATAGAATCATATTATAAATAAAAGTAATGAGAGAGACTAATAATTGATGTTAATTATGAGCCAACGTAATGGGTCACGTAGCGCTGTTAAGAAACAGTTTGTTAAAGCAAAAATATTAACTGCCTTTTTGTTCATTAGTGCTGAATATATATTGTGTAACGTTAATTAATCTGAATAATAACGTGTTATTGTAATTACTTAAATCCCAATCATTGTTGGGATATTTTTCCTACCTGTCCAAATCCTGGATATTGATATCTTATCTTTTCTGTCTATGATTTTTAATTTATAATCTTCAATTCAGGTTAATAATGTGTAGTACAAGTATGACTTAATTATGTTTAAAATGCATGTTAGGTGCAAATAATCGACTATGAAATGAAGAAGTAGTCCCTGATTTCCTCATACGTTGTTGTTAATTATATTACTTGCTAGAAACTGCCATAAATTATTACGTTATACTTCCCTTCTGTCTTGCACATACGTAGTACATACAAATCTTATATTGGAGTATTGGACCACCAATGTAGCATTTACTTACTTCATAATGATACACAATGAAATAAAGTACGTATGTACTATTAAACTAAGCTAGTGTCTAACCTTTCATACACACAAATGATACTTATATTACCAAGTTATAACTTTATAAGCTCCAAACCTTAATTATGGGTTGCTTGCAAGAACCAAAATACCATAATTATATTTTTCTTTTGTATGTGTATATCTCATCAAGATTATTGATATTGTTATTAGGACGATATTAAGGAGTAATAAATGTGTGTAGCCCTTTATATTGTATTTACTTCATGTAGGGAAGACGATATCTAATAACACGAAGTATATTTTATATATATGTTTCATAATATATGATTATACGTATGTGTTGCTTGTTTGATTCACCCCATGTATTAGGTTCTTATTTTTAAAACTCATTTGTTCTCATTGTATTATTGTAACATCTCATTACATTACGTCATTTCTCTCTTTCATATTTTCTCTATTTGTCTTATTGTCTAAGGCAAAGAGGCACTTGCTTTAGTATCAATTCAATCAGATCAAATTGAATAGTTATTTTTTGAGTAACCCAATTACAAGTAATGTGTTTTTCGCATTTGAATATTAACCGTAACACTAACCTTGTAACACTTTTTTTCAAATTCACGCTATACATGAATAAATGCATGTAAGAGATGAAAGAAAACGAGTACCTAGAACTATAAAGTATAAAGTATATTATCAAACAATGAATCGTAAGCCATAGAATACTACGTGTCTACATAGTAGAAAAGGTTGGACCAAAGTTTGGAAAAATGTAAAAGGGGCATGTAGTAAAAACGTGGGCGTGAAATAATAAAAACGCATGTGATAATGAAGATGGATGTGATGAGTGGCTGGGTAAGGCAGAAAAATGGTAATAAATAAGCAGTTAGCTAAGATTATGTTATGCATATAAATATAATGCAAGACGACTAAAAGACATGTGCAGGTCACATGGGCAATGGGCCAGTAAACATTAACAGCTACACAACATGTTAACTCTCTTTATAAAGAAGAGAGGACTGACGACTGTCGACCGACCAGTGACCGTACATATTTGATACTATCCTAATGTCCTGATTTGCTTCACAAAAATACTATAAACTACTTGATACGCTCTACTCATACCTAAAATGAAAACCTACTTTTCCCTCCTCAGCTCGTCTTCACTTACATGGATACCTTCTTGTCTTAGTTATGATGATACTAGCTACCATACGTCCATACATGCCATGCATGCATACACTACTTGTAGTCTTCAATTATTACATGGATCTTCTTTTGAATCACAAGTACCCGTATCAATTACTTGTACTCCGTATTTAGTAAATACATTATATTGCATGATGGGATTGTTAATATATGTATTGTATGATGGGATTGTGAATTATCTCTATGCATAACTACTACAGAGTATATAAGATATACTCCATGGATCTATTATCTCAAGTTATATTATTCGTATATTATTTTGACTTTTTATGTACGTTGTTATACAAGTATGATTATATGTTCTCGAGTACTCTATAGGGCCAAACTTGGAAGAATAGATAAGATACTTATTTTAATGACAAAAATTTAGGTTTTAGGGTTTTTGGAGTGTTTTGGCTCCGATACCATGTCAAGAATGTGAATCCTTGGTTTGTATTGACGAGTAATCACGGTATTTATACAACCTAAAGTAAGGGCCTTAACGTAGCCCGTTAACCAAACTAAATACAATATATATACGGACTTAACAAGTAAAGAAAAAGGGATTACGGTAGAAATTACAGTAATTGTCCTAGCAGGTAGGAACATTTAAGGTTTCAAAATCCAAGATAGTGTGAGGAGTATATCATAGATCCTTGGATCTTTTACCAAAACGGCTAGTTTGACAAAAGTATTTACCGAAACGGCTAATTATAAAATTTAATTCCCAAACTAGCTAAATTTATTGATTTGAAAGGATATTATTTATTTCTTATTATTTCCATTGAACCGGTTCGGTTAACTTCGATTCGGTTCACCTTCTTTCTTTCTTTCTTTTTTTGGTTTTTATTTAAAAAGAATTAGTTGCTTTTTTTAATTTTTATTTTGGTTTTATTAAAATTCTAATGCCATAGTTTAAAATATCCTATTAATTTGAACAATAACAATTAACATAATATATATGCAGCAATTCTCAATTTTAAAAAAACTTACACAAAATAAACTACTCAAAAAATTGATCCAAACTTCGAATCAACAAAAGAAAAAAATAAAAAACAAAAATATACAACTATTTTTTTAGCACATAAAGATAGAAATATATTAAGGTCTAAAGGAACAATCAAGTCTTGATTATAAATAACTAGAGTTATACAACTCTAGACCATAGAATCATTTTATTTGCTCCAAAAACAGCGAACATCAAAGTTTCTTCTAAGAGAAAAGGCATCCAAATCAAGCTGCAAATAGAAGGTAATAGTGTATTAATAATTATGCATATACCTCTAAAATACGTAGTAATAAGATAAATATATATAGCTTATAAATTTGAACAAAAACCCACTCTTACATACCTGTATTACTCCCCTTCATATCTCCTCTTTTTAGCACAAGTCCTTGAATTGTGTCCTACACCTTTACACATTGAACATATCCATTGTCTGATCTGCCATTATAATCACATAAATATATGTAAATTTTATTTATCATACACATTAAAAAAAAAAAAATTCATATTAGCCGACATTAATATACATGAAAAAATGAACAATACCTTGAAATCTCTTATCGTCGTATAAATTTGTGGTAGTCTTGATAGAACAATATTACTTGAGATTCCAAATTTTTATGATTGATTTGATCAAGATGAAAAATTAGGGCTTTTATGTTTTTTTGATTGAAATTAGGGTTCTTACAACTGTTTACGTTAATATATCACGAATCAGCTGCTTAAATTTTTCAACTTAACAAAATCTTTAAGGAAATAAAAATAAAACCCAAAAAACAAAATAAAAAAAAAACTAAAAAGAAAGAAGAAGGTGAATCGAACCGGAGTGAACCGAACCGGTTCAATGGAAATAATAAGAAATAAATAATATCCTTTCAAATCAATAAATTTAGCTAGTTTGGAAATTAAATTTTATAATTAGCCGTTTTGGTAAATACTTTTGTCAAACTAGCCATTTTGGTAAAAGATCCTAGATCCTTGAACTTTGTAAACAATATAATCCCCGGCAAAAGATATCAAACAAAACCTGTATACCAAGTATTTGCAGGCATTTGATGCAGCTAGCTAAAGGGTATTTTTAAAGTATTGTTTTGCTCATGTGACTTTGCAAGCCGATGTGGATGTGTAGCCGTGTAGGGAGCGTTTGACATAGATATTGAAAATAGAGTGAAAAGAAAACAAATACTTAGAGTGAGAAAAGGAATTATTTAACACTTATCTTTTCATTTGTTTGGTTTAAACATGAAAAAGAATTACTTAACCATAGCTCATTTTCTTTTTATTTGATGAAGGTAAGGGTAATTGTTACCCTAACATTTAGAGAAGTAACAACTTGTGGAAACCATTACCCTTAAATAATAGTAATGGTTTAATTAAATCCATTCCTACCAAAAAAATACTCTAACCAAACATGCTCATAGTGCGTAAAAATGTCAATTATTCCAATGATAATGAATAACATAGCACGCATTCGTGCATGTAACTAATATAGGTATTTATAATTAGAAGTTTAGATTGTATGGGAGATATAATATATGGTGTATTTGAGAAATCACCTTAGTTATTTGGATATGTTTTAGTGAACAATATCCACACTGCACACACAAAAATGCTAGAGTGGTAGACTTGTGATTTTACTACCATTCATTGATCAAACTTAGAATCTTAAAAATATGACAATTTATACAATTGATTGTATCTTATACATATATTTTTTAAATCGTAAGATAAAAAATTACTCCGTATATATTAATTTTGTATATTCACAAAGTACAACAAACAAATAGATAAAATTGCCTAGATTTTTTTTATTTTTTTTTTGTTTTTTTTGAGGGGATAAAATTGCCTAGATTGATAATGAAGTGGAAATGTAGTGTTAAAGTCATGAGATTCATTTAAATTTCACACCAACTATGGATTTGATTTAATTGTGTATTTTATCCCAATTAAATGCAAATTTCCAAGTATAGAGTCTACCTAATTTGTTTGAGCCTTTGAGGAGAGGGTACACTCCCTATTCCCTAGCCCAACCATTATGGTTTAGTAGTTGGACTTAAGTCTTAACCCTGATCAACAAACACTGTTTAGTAATACAAGTAATAATAAAATACTGGGTTACTGTGTAAATGGGTACAGTTGAACTTTATTAAATACCACTGGTCTTAAAGTCAGTGAAATAAATATGAGTATGATAATTGATTTTTTTTTTTTTGAATTATTAAACTTGTATGAGATTTTTTAATAAGTGAGGTTGAATTGATGAAGAAAGAGGGTGTATGCTGGGAAAGGAAAGAGAGAGAAGACGAAAAGAGCAATGAAATGCAAGCACATCGAACCCAGATTACTACTTGTTCAACTTCCAATTCTTTCTGGGAATTCCTTAATTAATTATCCTCAGTAGCATCACTCATTTGCTGCTATAGCATCCGTTACTCGTTTCAAACAAATTCAACAAATTCATTCGTTTTCCCACTTCTAATTACTACCCACTTTGTTCTGCAATGGACTGTGCAATCCAGAGGTGGAGCTTCAACTATAGTAACAATGGAGTTTTGATTTGATTTGAATTGAATTGTTCGAAGAAGAGGGTGAATGAGTGTGAGGGGATCTTATTTAGGGTTTACTACAAATGGAATCGAGAATGGATCAGTACGAGATCATGGAGCAGATTGGTCGCGGTGCTTTCGGAGCCGCCATTCTTGTCAATCATAAATCAGAGAAGAAGAAGTATGCATTTCTCTCTTTCTTTGTTCGGAGTATATCTTTGTTGGTCGTTCAATTGCTTAATTTCTGGGTTTCTGCAGATACGTTTTGAAGAAGATTAGACTCGCTCGCCAAACTGAGCGATGTCGTCGATCCGCTCATCAAGAGGTTAATTTCACTAATACTATACTATTACTACTATTATGTTTAATATTAGTGGTTTTAATCTTTCTAATTTGGTAAACTGTAGATGTCACTAATTGCACGAATTCAACACCCTTACATTGTTGAATTCAAAGAAGCTTGGGTTGAAAAGGTTGGTTAAGATTTCCAGGATTTTTCCTTGTTTCTAATTTTGGGATTTGATGAATGCAATGTTAATTAAAGTGGATTTGATTAATGCAGGGATGCTATGTTTGCATTGTAACGGGTTATTGCGAAGGTGGAGACATGTGAGTATATATAGATTGCAACTAATTTTATAAAGTTTTGGATTTTTTGTTTTATGGGTGGTTCTTTGTTGTTGATGATTGAATCTGTTTCAGGGCTGAGTTGATGAAAAAGGCTAATGGTACTTCTTTTCCTGAAGAGGTATATCGATCATCTAATTTCTAATCCACTATTTCAGTTTTCAATTTTGGACTTCAACAACTAATTTGATTGAAAATTGTTATCTTTGTTTAGAAACTTCTCAAGTGGTTCACACAATTACTATTGGCCGTTGAGTATCTTCATTCAAATTATGTCCTTCATCGAGACCTTAAAGTATGCAACTCTGCTCCATTACTGGATTTTTTTTTGTTTTACTTGGCATCAAGTTCTCTTGCTGTTAACTGCCATTTTTTCTGCTTATCCTTTGTATAACCATTTTTGCAGTGTTCAAATATTTTTCTGACAAAGGATCAGGAGGTTCGTCTTGGTAGGTGCTTAATTACTGCTGCTGAATCAAAAAATTTCAATGTGCTTGGGTTTGTACTTGTTATTTATAGTATATGATTGTTGTCGAAATCATCTTATGAAAAATGCAGGTGATTTTGGGCTTGCTAAAACTCTCAAGGCAGATGATCTAGCTTCATCTGTAAGTAGTGCTGGACCTTGAACTCACCATCCTAAAAGTCTGTTCTGCACTGATAAATGATTCTTGCTATGCTGTCTATTGCTTTTCTTGCTGTGTTCTCCTTTTCAATTTTGTCACGGCGGGAATGAGACAGTTTTCCTTTCATTTTTTTTTGAAACATCAAAGGGGAGGGGGCAGAGGGCAGAGGGCAGAAAGAAGTGTGGCCTTTGGCCTCACTCTTTAGCATGCATTTCTGGCCTCTTTTGCTGTCACCACACTAAGTGGATGTGAAACTGATATTCACCCTATCTGTGCTTTAGGTGGTTGGAACTCCTAATTACATGTGTCCTGAACTTCTGGCAGACATACCTTATGGCTTTAAATCTGATATTTGGTCCTTAGGTATGTTTTTATTGGGCTGTTACCTGTTAGTATGTGGACTTCTAGCTGCATAAAAATATGGTTTAATTGATGTTATCTTGATTAGGCTGCTGTATGTACGAGATGGCAGCTCATCGACCGGCGTTTAAAGCTTTTGTGAGTATTTCTTTTACCTTAATGTGTCGCATGTTGTTCTGCTAAGATGTTTCATATTAGCTCTCCTTTTCTGTTTCATAATTGAAACACAACATTAAACCACTTTATTACAGGATATGGCAGGATTAATTAGCAAGATAAATCGATCTTCTATGGGTCCCTTGCCTTCTTGTTACTCTCCTTCAATGTAAGTTATTGCTGTTGTGTTTGTATGATTATTGGATTTTGTTGATTTAATCAGAAGTTTGTTGAACCTGTTAATAATATTGCTGGCACGTTAATGCTTTGTCCTCTTCATAAGCTTTTTCATCCCATATCCCTGCAGGTAGATGAGAGCTTTATAACCACCAAGTTTGATGAGAATTAGCTAATTTTTTTTTTTTTTTTTTTTTTTTTTTTTTTTTTTTTTGCTTGTGTGTGTTATCATTTAGGAATATGTATTGCATACTCAAAGTTCCAATGGGTTTTGTGTCACACAAACAAAAATAAAAATAAAAATAAGTTCTAGTGGGGTTTGTAACCATTGAGAATACAAAACTACTGCTTTGGCTGTGGGAAAATTTTCCTGATGATTTTCAAACTTCAGGACTTGTATTTTCTTTTTTTACAAAACTCACTTTAGATTGGACTTAGCACTTGTTTGAATAAGAGGTAGAGAGAAAGGGTGGGACGGGTACAAGTTCCCTTGTTTGGATAAGAGATTAGGAGAGGGAGGGAGTTGAGTAAAAACCGTCCCTTCAAAATTGGTGAGATTTGGAGGGAAAATGGAGCTCCAGCTTCCTCCTCCCATTCCTTTCCCTTCCCTTATCTTATATTTTGCTACCCAAACAATGTGTAAATATTCTCAGTTATCAATATGTGATATGTGATTATGTGTTTTTACTTCAGAAATATATTGGGGATCTATGTATTATATCCAAATTTGCCTATAAACCCATTGTTGTACATACCCTGCCTTTTCTTTTTTCTGTGCTTATCTCAAGCTTTGTATCTTATTCACGTGTCAACCCCAATGAATTGTTTCATTTCAATCAATAATCACTTGTTTTCACTTTTCACTCTCCTTACTATTAGTCTTGTGTAATGCATTAAGAGGAAGGGCACCTCAGGAATTGCCATTATAATTTAGTTAGAACTGTTAGAGCCGTTAGAGGTAACTTGAACAATTAGAGAAGGGAATCAGTTAGTCTATATATAGAAGGCATTAGAGATTAAGGAAAGGAATCTTGAAATGAATTGTGTATTTTTTTTTTTAAAATTCTTGTTTCAATCAATTAACTTCATCTTCTTCTTTCTTTGATTATCTGCCCAAACTTCCAGTCATTACATCCTTGATCACTCATTTGGTGCCATATTGAACAATATATGTGTATAGCTAATTTCTAAATAATTATGAAATTTTAATTTTGAAAGATCTTAGAGAAATTTTGTCTGAGTTGATGATCTATTGGATCCTGGCCTTTTTTTTTTTCCCTTCAAATAATCATATTTGGCCGTGTATTCATATAAAGCATTATTTTTTCTACTGTCAATCTTCACCATACTATCTTAATATCTTATCTGCGGATCTTTGTATTGTACTTGCAGGAAGACTCTGATCAAGGGAATGCTACGCAAAAATCCTGAGCACCGCCCAAGTGTACGGAATTTTTTTCTCTTTTTTCATTTCATCTGTGGTAAAAAAAAAAGTTGTATTTGGCATCTAGGGGCTTCTCTCTTTTCTTTTTAATGATGTACTTGATTTGACGCAGGCATCCGAGATTCTGAAGAACCCTTACTTACAGCCTTATGTCAACCAATACAGATCCTCTAATTTTCCATCTCCTGGGAAACTTCGTGAAGCAAGGAAACCCATGATTGAGAGCCAAAACAGTAGCAGTTCTTGCAGTGATAAAGATAGTTCTGTATCAACTGAGAAGAACATTCCAGTCATGGTTTACTGTGAGAACAAGGCTACTGAGACAGATATTGCATCTGATGATGATGTAGATTATGAGCATCCAGCTCAAAGTGATGCAGAGCAATGTGTTGCTGAATGTGTGGTCAGTGTGCATGAACAAGACAAGAAATCTGCTAATACTGAGCCAAAATCCAGCAGTGAGATAAAGCAACCAAAGATCATAAAAAATATACTTATGAACCTCAGGGAAGGTAAAACTAGAGAGAACAGCTCTCCTATGCGAAGCAACAGAGGAAGAACTGTGCAAAGAACTAACATTGAAGCATCACCTAAAGTCTCCAAGCCCACTATTGTTCCTCCTACTGTCAAACCTGCTGATTTTAATTCGGTTGTGCCAGCAAGGACCAGTCCAGATTCTATGAAAAGAGTTCATGCTTCATCTCTGAGACATCAGGTCCAAAATGATAAAATTGTCTTGTATAATAAAAATTACCCAAAAAAGATTTTGTACTGACTAAATATGATTGATAACCCTAACTATACAGCATATGAAAGTAAACTAGAATTCAGGCAATGAAACTGAAAAAATCCTACATCTCACCTGAGAATGGAAAGTCCATAAAAAAGTTTACTCTAATCTCACATGAGAGATGAAGAGACAGGGAAGATGGCATACTTTTCTTTGGAATCTGCATTCTCAAATGAGATGTGGGTTATTTTAGTTCAATTAGTGAAAACTAAATGGTATTTATTTTTGTTTAACCTATAGTTTTGCTTCATTGTTTTTGGCCAATAATTTAGGTCACTTAGAGCTCTCTCTCTCTCTCTCTCTCTCTCTCTGAATGAAAGGGTGTATATGAGTAATAGTTTAGTTGCATAATTTGCTAATATTTGGTTGATATTGTTTTTGCAGTCGCCCGTTATTGAATCCTCACCTAAGACTAAGCCCAGACATGAAGTAGTTTCTTCTCCCGGATCCATCAAACAAGCTGCTGAAGAAGGAATTGCTTCTAGGCCAAGGCAAAAAACTCCTCCTACCAATGTAGTTAGACGGTCTTCCTTTCCAGGGAGAATAAAGCAAGCAAGTCAAGAAATTCCAAATGCAGTAACTGATTCCATTAAGGTGGATACTGGTGAAATGGCTCAGGAATCTGAGAGCATTGGTTTGGTGAGCAAGACCTCTTCAACTCATGCTCCAGAGGTTACAAAGCATGAATCAGGAAGAGGTTTAAAGGTGCCTCGAAGAGTAACACGAGCTGATAGCAGCAATTCTGTCTCTTCCTCTGTGTCCATGCAAGCATTTGAACTCTCTGATGATGCGACAGCCCCCTTCCAGAGTTTATTGGAGCAGACTACCCATGATTATGAGGTAATAAGCCACTCTGAAGAATCTGAACAGTGTGGCTCCCATAGGCCTAGCAGTGCATCTGCAGCCATTTCGTACAGCAATGCAACTCATCATCAACCTACAGTGACTGAGGCTGAACAGTTTGAATTGCATCGCCCAAGCAGTGCTTTTGCATCTGTTATGCACCACAAGATGCCTGAAAATAATTTTAGCAAGGCAGTGAACCTTCCCCAACTGTATGATTCGCATCAGCCAAGCAATGCTTCTGCTTCCTATTTGTTCCCTGAGATTCCTGAGAATAACTCAGGAAAGGGTATTTGTGATTATGGGATAAAAAAGCGTGTTGAATTAGACTTACGTCGTCCAAGCAATGCATCTTCATCCCATATGTATCCTGAGATGTCAGACAATGTTGCTGGGAAATATCAACTACATGATGGTGAGGCTGAATTATGCTTTGTTGAGACATTTTCCTTTCCTTCTGGCTCTCCTTCTGGCACAGACAAGAATTTATCAAGAGATGCCTGTGGACTTATTAAGCCCTCGTCATATATAACTGATGCCAAAGGCTCAGATGCAAACCCTGAGTATCAAAATGTTGGTTCTGGTGACGTAGGTATTAAAGCTCATGCATCATTAAAACGTCCATGTCGGAGTTCTCAGGATGTTTTGGATGTTGATTCTGGGCCTTCTGATAATGTGGGTAGTGAAGCTAATACATCATTAACGAACCCATATAGGAGTCCTGAAGAAATTTCAGTATATAAAGATTACTTTTCTCCCAGCAGGTCTGGTGGTAGATCAGATCCTATGCCTAGCTCTAATCCTGTGTCTCCATCACAAGGTGATGACAAATTCACAGTAAAGGAATTCTTGTCAACAGAGGGAAAAGATAAAGTAGCTTCAAATAAAACTATATCTTCATCCAACCAAAATACATCACCTGAAAAAGCTCCTGCTCCCTGTATACCTCCAGTTTTTGAGGATGTTGTACATGTCACTCGGCATGGTAGTTTCCAGGGAGGAAGTGAGCAGCCATTTATTGAAACTGTTGAAAGAAAGATGGATGTCGGCACACTTGTCAATGTTACTAGGGAAGAGAGAGAAACGAGCAATGTGACTGCTCCTGTTTCTTTGCAGCCCTCGAATTGCTCATGGACTGTGACTCCAAGATCAGATTCCCCAATAAGACTAGGTCTTTCTGAACCCACTGTGGCAAACTCAGATACTCCACCGCAAGTGAAGTCCCAATCAGGTGCAAAGGAAGGAGACTCTCCATTTAAGGAAGTCATGGATGTTAAGTCTTTTAGACAGAGGGCGGAGGCTCTTGAAGGACTACTTGAATTGTCGGCTGAATTATTGGAGCAAAGTAGACTCGATGAGCTTGCGGTTGTCTTAAAGCCCTTTGGCAAAGATAAGGTTTCCCCAAGGGAGACTGCCATCTGGTTGGCTCGAAGTCTTAAAGGCATGATGATTGAGGACTCCTCTCGGAATTCATGAGTTAGTTTCACATTCATGCTGGTAAGTTACTGATACTGTGTATGCAGGACTCCTGCAGCATTCTGTCCATAGTAATCATTCTTCACGGTCTTTTCTTTTGTGTTTTTAGAAGAAAAGGAATCATGTTCCCCCTTTTGTGGAATTTTTGAGAGAACCCAAATATGTTTCTTTGTTTATTTTTTCTACCATTCTTTGGATGCAGCATGTTATTGTACATAACAATGATACGGATAAAAATAAGGTTAAATTTTACTGCTGCCAATGTACTAATATGCTGCACTGTATAGCACATATATGAACTCCTGGATCATTCTTGCAGGTAACCTTGTCATTTCTTTTTATCTTTGAGACATGAGAAGACTTGACAGTGAGCGAACAAAAAAATTGATGTTTTAAAGCTTCACGACATACTTGTGTATTTTTTTTTATGCAAGAGATCTGCTCTCCGGGCAATTTACTTCCATCTCTGTTTCATCGGGAATCAATATACTGTATGGATGTTCTTCGTAAGTATTGCGAATTATGTTAAAACTAGCTACTGAAATTGTTGCCTTGGTCGACCTTGCATCAATTGCACGACCTCGAGCTGTTGAGCCATCTGCCGTATTGCCATAACCCCAGCAAATTTGGTACAAGTGTCAACACATAATAGTACTAAGCTAATGGCAAAGCATGAGGCCGCATGACAAATACTATCCAACAGCAGTTAGTATCGGGAGAGGCTGATGGCCGTTAGATTAGCCACATTGCGTAGGATATGACCTGAGTCTTTTTTATTACAATCTATGAACACTAGCAGGAGAGATCTAGTATCCAGCTAATGAGATCATATTGTTAATGTGACCCTTTCTTTCATAACTATATTTTCCTGAGAAATATCAGTGTTAAAATGTTTCATGTTGTAAATCAAGGGAGGTAGAATGTACGTCACACCAAATGATTTATTACATACGAAGTAGCTTGTTACGTTGTTATACTATAAATTCAAGAACAATCAAGCATCTGAAAGATGCATACAGAACATACGTCTAGAGAATGATACTAAAATTCTAAAATGCATAATTGCATAAAATTCATGGAAATTGATTAGGATAATAACAATCACAAAAGGAGTGAGCGGCAGCCAAATGGTGGAGGTAGAATCAGGATTGTAAAAGGAGTGAACCCTAACTTTCCCAATCACATATCCCAAATCAAACCCTAACTTTTCTCTGTCTCTCTCCTTCCCTTCTCTGCTAATCTGATCAACTCAACGACGACCTTCTTCGTTTGCTCCCAAATTCAAGAAGGTAAGATCTTATTTTTCATACTCCAATTCAACACTTATGTGTATTTTTAGCCCTTCAATTCAATTTGAAAAACTGCAATAAGTGAATTTGGTTAATTCAATGATAAATTTAATCCCTGTATATAACTGTATATATTCAAAGGCTCAAAATCAGTAAATTGTTTTTAGGTTTCAAAGTTATATCAGTAACTCTTCCACTGTATCTCAGCAGAAGCTGTGTAAAAACGATGGTGTTATATTGTTGGATGACTGACGCTCATCCTCCCCTGATGGGTGGCTAATGTATTTTTTGTAGCATAACAAATGCTAGGGCAGAACCGCAGAAGTAAACCAAACGCTAGGGCATAACAAACGCTAGTGATCGCAAAAGAAAGGAGTTCAAACCCTCGGTAGACCTGAAACGCCCTTACGGGGACATCAGGCTCGCTCGAACCCCCATCCCCACTCCCCCGAGAGGCCCAACGAGCAACATCGTACCACGAGTTGTGTCCGTTCTCGTCATCTGGCGCACGTCGCACAATGGAAGATATTAAAGAGTTGAGGAAGAAAAAAATTATCAATTGGGTCACAACTGGCTATTCCACTTAGGATTTTCCAATCAATAAGGAATCACCTTGTTAGAGACAAGGTAATAACCCGAGTTATTACCTTTTATAGTCAGTCAGGAATTTGCAGACACATTGGAGGAAAATTGAGTTTGATCTTATAGTTGGGATCACCATCTAAAGTGAAAAATTCAGGAAGGTTTCGAGGAAGAGTACCTAAGCTGAAGTTCCAAACTCTGCCAGATTGTCTCCCTAGTAGCATTTGAAAGAAGAATAAGATTTCCAATATCTAAAAGCTGAGCTACTATGCAAATCAACGTGCATTGATGGCAACAATGAGTGTGAAGGATGTTCCAAACTCTGCTAGATTGTCTCCCCAATAGCATATGAAAGCAGAATATCTAAAAGCTGTGTGAAGGATGTTCCAAACTCTGCTAGATTATCTCCCCAATAGCATTTGAAAATAGAATATCTAAAAGCTGAGCTACTGAATTATTTTCCTGATCGTTAGATATATTTGATGACCAAAAGATATTGTTCTGTTCAACTAGGGCATGAAGATTACTATCCTCGGAAACTTTGAGCACCCCAAAAGAAGTATTGCGTAGGGTCCCACTATGAGCGTGGGGTTTCCTTAGGCGTGGGGTCCGTCTATAAGCGTGGGGTTTCCTTGGGCGTTGGCCCCGCCCCTATATTAGCGTGGTGTTCCTTGGGCATGGGGTCCTCCCTAAGGCGTGGGGCTTATTAGTTGGGCGTAGGGTCGGTTGGTTTGGCGTGGGGTTGGTCCTAGGGCATGGGGTTGGTTCGTTTAGGGTTTCTCCTTGGGCGTGGGGTTCTTCCTTGGGCGTGGGGTTTCAAGATGGGCGTGGGGTTTCTTCCTTGGGAGTGGGGCTCTTCCTTGGTCGGGGGGTCCCTCTTTAAGCATGGGTTTTGAGCTTAGGCGTGGGGTTTCAGGATGGGCGTAGGGTAGATACATTAGGCGTGGGGTATCAGGATGGGCGTGGGGTTATTCTTTGGGCGTGGGGTCCCTCTTAGGCGTGGGGTTCTTCCTTGGGCGTGGGGTCCTCTATTTAGGGTTGGGGTTTGAGTAACGGCGTGGGGTATGAGATTAGGCGTGGGGTTGGAGTTTGGGCGTAGGGTTTAACCTCGGGCGTGGAGTTTCTTTCTAGGGCGTGGGGTTTCAAGATAGGCGTAGGGTGTCTTCCTTGGGAGTGGGGTTCTTCCTTAGTCGTGGGGTCCCTCTTTAAGCGTGGTTTTTGAGCTTAGGCGTGGGGTTTCAGGATGGGCGTAGGGTTGATACATTAGGCGTGGGATGGGCGTGGGGTTATTCGTTGGGCGTGGGGTCCTCTTAGGCGTGGGGTTCTTCCTTGGGCATGGGGTCCTCTCTTTAGGCTTGGGGTTTGAGTAACAGCGTGGGGTTTCTTCCTAGGGCATGGGGTATGAGATTAGGCGTGGGGTTGGAGTTAATTGGGCGTGGGGTTTCATCTTGGGCGTGGAGTTTGAGCTTGGGCGTGGGAATTGACCTTGGGCGTGGAGTTTCTTCGTTGGGCATGGGGTTAATTTATAGGGCGTGGGGTCATTCATTGGGCGTGGGGTTGATACAGTAGGCGTGGGGTTTGAGTTTTATGCGTAGGGTTGATACAGTAGACGGGGGGTTTCTCCTAGGGCGAGGGAATTCATGACGGGCGTGGGGTTTCTTCCTATGGCGCGGGGTGAGCTTCGGCATGGGGTTTGAGTTTTAGGCGTAGGGTTGATACATTAGGCGTGGGGTTTCATGATGGGCGTGGGTTCTTCCTTGGGCGTGGGTTTGAGCTTCGGCGTGGGGTTTCTCCTAGGGCGTGGGGTTTCATGATGGGCGTGGGTTTCTTCCTTGTGCGTGGGGTTTGAGCTTCGGCGTGGGGTTTAAGGTGTGGGGTTTCTTCCTAGGGCCTGGGGTTTTATCAAGGCGTGGGGTTTCATCTTGGGCGTGGAGTATCAGGATAGGCGTGGGGTTTCTCCTTGGGCGTGGGGTTTCTTCCTAGAGCGTAGGGTTTAAGCTTAGGCTTGGGGTTTGAGTTTTGGGCGGAGGGTTTATACATTAGGTGTGGGGTTTACCCTAGGGCATGGGGTTCTTCCTTGGGCGTGGAGTTTGAACTTGGGCGTGGGGTTTCTTCCTAAGGCGTGGGGTTTACCCTAGGGCGTAGGGTTCTTCCTTGGGCGTGGGGTTTGAGCTTGGGCGTGGGGTTTCTTCCTAGGGCATGGGGTGAGCTTCGGCGTAAGGTTGATACATTAAGCGTGGGGTTTCTCCTAGGCATGGGGTTTCATGATGGGCGTAGGATTCTTTATTGGGTGTGGGGTTTGAGCTTTGGCGAAGGGCGTGGGGTTTTATCTTATGCGTGGGGTTTCATCTTGGGCGTGGGGTATCAGGATAGACGTGGTGTTTCACCTTGGGCGTGGGGTTCTTCTTTGGGCGTGGGGTTTCTTCCTAGGTGGGTGGAACCATCCAATTTGCCTTAAAACAGTCAGTTTACCAATTCGCAACATGTACCGATTTTGTGAACTGAAGTCTACCACGGACATTTATGACATCATTTTATGGTCATATATGGTTCCAAACGACATTATATGACCCTAAGATTATTCCCTAGAGTCTCAACACTTTTTGCCACCGGGCCTGTAATCTAAAAAATTCCTCAAAAAGCACGGATAATAGCCTTCAATTTTGAAATTTTTTGACTCTTTTTTCCCCGGAAATAAAAATTTCCGAGATGTTTACCATGGTCCCTAATACCCTCCGGGAGTCCAATTAGGTAGGTGGAACCATCCAATTTGCCTTAAAACAGTCAGTTTACTAATTCGCAACTTGCACCGATTTTGTGAATTGAAGCCTACCACGGACATTTATGACATCATTTAATGGTCATATATGGTTTCAAACGGCATTATATGACCCTAACATGTATCCCCTAGGGTCTCAACACTTTTCGCCACCGGCCCCAATAACCTCAAAAATTCCTCAAAAAGCGTAGATAATAGCCTTCAATTTTGGAATTTTTTAACTTTTTTTTTGCCCGGAAATAAAAATTGCCGAGATGTTTACCATGGTCTCTAATACTAGCGGTGTTCAAAAAAACTCGTCCGAATGTCCCGACCCGCTGACCTGCTGTCCCGGCAAATACCCGACTGGAATTTTTTTAAAAGAACCTGTTTTTTCGGGTCGGGTACCCGACCCAGGAAAACTGCCTTCAATTAGGGTCGGGACATTGGCCGATTTTTTTCAAAAACGGGTACCCGATTACCCGAATTTTAAATTTTTTAAAAAATAAATAAAATAATAACCCACTCAAACTCCTCACCACGTCAGACAGTCAGACCCCAAAGGCCAAAGCCCAGCCCCTAGCCTAATTTTCACGAAATTAGGGTTCTGGCTTCTTTCCCCTCTCTCTCTCTCCGCCACTTCCTCCTTCCTCTCTCTCTCTTCCTGCCCGTCTCTCTCTCTTTCTGCTTATTCTTGCCTTCTTCTTCAGTTCTTCTTGCCCTTCACTTGTTCAAGGCTTCAACTCTTCAAGGCGTTCAAGCCCTTCAAGCGAGTTCAAGGCTTCAGTCTAGGTAATTTCTGTTCTCATGCTATTTTAATTTCGTTGTAATTTGTGGTAATCCAATTGATAGTGTATTTTGTGATAATTGATAGTGTATTATGGTGATTAATTAGATGACAAATTCATACATGCTCGAATTCTTTTAAATCCTTATTTTTATTTGATAGTGTATTATGGTGATTAGAAGAAAACTAGAAGAAAACATGTACAATAGTCAATAGAAGTCTGAATATTCAAAATTCCAACTTTTTTGAAGTCTCATAGTAATTAGTAATTTAGTAGTAAGCAAATCTTAAAGCTGTAATTATATTAAAGTGGTAATAGTTATCCATTAATTAACAGGTTTAACAGTATGATTGGTATGATTTTTTTTAATTATTTCATTATTTGATGATTAAATTATCATGTCGACCTGAATTATTTTAGTTTCAAGATAATATGTAGATTATCAATTCGGTATTTAGGCATTGACAGATTAAGTGATTAGTATACAATGTCATTTTCAGTTCTAAAATGAATGGACTGATTTGTCTCACAGTGTATGTATGTTTGTTTTTTTACCAGAAAATGTCAGATTCAGATGACATGATGGTGACAAATTCAAATGAAACAAATAAAGTTTCGGATCTCACAAGTGAATGAAACATGACCTCCAAGCTTATTTAATTTGCATTGTGGCTTTGTTATATTATTGTACTTTGTAATTTGTATGTTTGGAATTATGTAACTAATGACTTCCCCTAAACTTTAGCTTTTAATTAGTACTTTAATCATGTTAAGACTTGTATTTTAATATGTTAAAACAGGTTACTAGGTTACTTAAATGTAGCAGGTACTCAAGGCTGATTTCATGGGCTACACTTTAAAGAATTACATGCATGGTAATTCTGGAAAAACAGGCAGCAGGTTTTTACAAAAAAATGCAGCAGATTTTTACAAAAAATAAAATCTGAAAATCTAGAATTTTTACAAAAAAAATGCAGCAGGTTATTTTATTAAAATAAATTAAATTACAGCAGGGATAAATAGTTAAATACATAATATTAAGTAAAAAGTTAATTAAAAGAAAAACAGTTCCGGGTACCCATGTCCCGACCCGAATAATTTGGGTACCCGAAACCCGGGTACCCGGATTATTCAGGTCGGGACATGGGACACGCTAACAAGTACCTGAAAACCCGGGTACCCGGATTTGAACACCCCTCCCTAATACCCTCCGGGAGTCCAATTAGGTGGGTGAAACCATCCAATTTGCCTTAAAACGGTCAGTTTACCACTTCGCAACTTGCGCCGATTTTATGAACTGAAGCCCACCACGGACATTTATGACATTATTTAATGGTCATATATGGTTCCAAACGACATTATATGACCCTAACATGTATCCCCTAGGGTATCATCACCTTTTGCCACCGGCCCCAATAACCTCTAAAATTCCTCAAAAAACGTGGATAATAGCCTTCAATTTTTGAATTTTTGGACCTTTTTTTGCCCGAAAATAAAAATTTCAGAGATGTTGACCATGGTTCCTAATACCCTCCGTGAGTCCAGTTAGGTGGGTAGAACCATCATGTTAGGTGGCCTTCAATTTTGGAATTTTTTAACCTTTTTTCGTTCGGAAATAAAAATTGCCGAGACGTTTACCATGGTCCCTAAATCCCTAATACCCTCGGGGAGTCCAATTTGGTGGGTGGAACCATCCAATTTGCCTTAAAACAGTCAGTTTACCAATTCACAACTTGCACCGATTTTGTGAACTAAAGCCTACCACGGACATATAAGACATCATTTAATGGTCATATATGGTTCCAAATGGCATTATATGACCCTAACTTGTATCCCCTAGGTTCTCAACACTTTTCGCCACTGGCCCTAATAACCTCTAAAATTCCACAAAAAGCGTGGATAATAGCCTACAATTTTGGAATTTTTTTAACCTTTTTTTGCCCGAAAATAGAAATTTCCGAGATGTTTACCATGGTCCCTAATACCCTCTGGAAGTCCAATTAGGTGGGTAGAACCATCTAATTTGCATTAAAACAGTTAATTTACTAATTCGCAACTTGCACCGATTTTGTGAACTGAAGCCTACCACGGATATTTATAACATCATTTAATAGTCATATATGATTCCAAACGACATTATATGACTCTAACATGTATCCCCTAAGGTCTCAAAATTTTTCGCCACCGGCCCCAATAACCTCTAAAATTCCCCAAAAAGCGTGAATAATAGCCTTCAATTTTGGAATTTTTTTACCTCTTTTTGCCCGGAAATAAAAATTGCCGAGATGTTTACTGTGGTCCCTAATACCCTCCGGGAGTCCAATTAGGTGGGTAGAACCATCCAGTTTGCATTAAAACAGTTAATTTACCAATTCACAACTTGCACCGATTAAGTGAACCGAAGCCTACCACGGACATTTATGATATCATTTAATGGTCATATATGGTTTCAAACGACATTATATGACCCTAACATGTATCCCCTAGGGTCTCAACACTTTTCGCCACCGGCCCCAATAACCTCTAAAATTCCTCAAAAAGCGTGGATAATAGCCTTCAATTTTGGAATTTTTTAACCTTTTTTGCCTGGAATTAAAAATTGCCGATATTTTTACCATGGTCCCTAATACCCTCCGCGAGTCCAATTAGGTGGGTAGAACCATCCAATTTCCATTAAAACAGTTAATTTACCAATTCGCAACTTGCACCGATTTTGTGAATTGAAACCTACCACGGACATTTATGATATCATTTAATGGTCATATATGGTTCCAAACGGCATTATATGACCATAAGATGTATCCCCTAGGGTCTCAATACTTTTCGCTACCGGCCCCAATAACCTTAAAAATTCCTCAAAAAGTGTGGATAATAGCCTTTAATTTTGGAATTTTTTGACTTATTTCTTTCGGAAAAAAGAATTTCTAGATGTTTACCATGGTCCTTAATATCCTTGGGAAGTCCAATTGGGTGTGTGGAATCATCCCATTTTCCTTGAAACGATCAATTTAGCAATTCGCAACTTGCATCGATTTTGTGAACTCAAGCCTACCACGGATATTTATGAGATCATTTAATGGTCATATATGGTTCCAAACGACATTTTATGACCCTAAGATTATTCCCTAGAGTATCAACACTTTTCGCCACCGGGCCCCCTAATCTAAGAAATTCCTCAAAAAGCGTGGATAATAACCTTCAATTTCGGAATTTTTGACCTTTTTTCGTCCGAAAAAAAATTGCCGAGATGTTTACCATGGTCCCTAATACCCCCCGGAAGTCCAATCAGGTGGGTAGAACCATCCAATTTGCATTAAAACAGTTAGTTTACCAATTTGCAACTTGCACCGATTTTGTGAATTGAAGCCTACCACGGATATTTATGACATCATTTAATGGTCATATATGGTTCCAAACGACATTATATGACCCTAACATGTATCCCCTAGGGTCTTAACACTTTTCGCCAGTGTAGACACTTATTTGTGTCTCCTCAAAACCAAACCCAGTGATGAGTATCTTTCGCGTCGAATCATAATCGAATGAAGTTAAAGTGTGGAAAGTCTAGTGTTGCGGATAGTTTTAATTTCTTTTCTCTTCTCTCTGTTTTTGAAAACTTATTTTAAGAAAACAGCCAATCCACTTTGGTTGGTCTATGATATGGGTCCAATAGTAGTGTAGTTGGATGGGGCTTGAAAAGACCTTTCCAACGATATATTATAAGCCTAATTCCGATGAATATTGAGGAAGTTATGGCCAATTTACTGAACTAGGCCTAGTTTGAGCTTTATATGCGGCCCAATGATCTAGGGGAGGGCCTAATATAGATTTATCATTCCTAATACAATGAGGAATGATTTTAGTCTTCTAGATTCTTCTAGAAGGTTCTTTTCATTCCTAATTCAATTAGCATTGATAAATTGACTTTTGTTGACTTTTCAGAGTTTTAATTAAAATCAAAGAGCATTTTTGAGGAAAGATACGATTTTATCCTCTTGTACTACAATTTTTATTTGATTTTAAGAAAACGCGTGAATTTCCAGATCAGCGCCAAACGCCAGCTGTAGCGCCTGGCGCTACGCTTGGCGCCTGACGCCAATAGCCAGCGTTGGCGCCAACTCTATTTTATCTGCGCCAGAACTCTGTTTTGATATTTTATCATTTTTGCTGATTTTCTTTATAAATAACGTTGTAAAACTCCATTTTCGATAATCAGTTTTCATGAACAATCATCAATTCTCTCTCATTCTCTTCTATAATCACATACTAACTCTCATCAAGATTTTCTTGATCACTCTCTCTCTCTCTTTTTCTAAACTAGCTTCTCTCAAATACAATATTCTGTATTCATTAGATCTAGATACACCTAGCCATATTTGAAGTTGCCTTCGCCCTAGACATGAAAGGTTTAATCATTGAGGGTTTGGTCCCGAATCTCTATTTCAATTATTTAATTGTTTTGTTTTGTTTATTATTTTCCTTGAAGTTACTAACGTGTGTATTTTGTTATTAGAAAGAGGTATGAGGCATCAAAGTAAGGGCTTTAATGGTTTTTATTGATATTATGATGTTATTATGATATTTCTAGTATCATGTCTAGGGTAACTTTAATATCAAGTATGATGCTTCCTATGTTCTTCCTAATATTTATGATTGTTAGTATCATGTTAGGGTTAAAGCTCTGATTTTTATATGCTTAGTGACATGCTAGGGTTTGTTATTAATCTAGCTTGTTAGTATCATGCCTAGGAACTTGCTATTTTTATTATGCTTTAAATGATTATTATGATTATGATTATTATAATTGTTATTATGATGATTATTTTTTTGATGATTATGATTATTTTAGTTATTATTATTATTATGATTATTGTTTTGATTATTATTATGATTATTATTATGTTGCTTGATATTTATTTTTATTGCTTGATCACGCCTTTTATACATGTTTAAAGAGAATTGATACTTGTAATCACGCTTAATAAGATAATTAATAATCTTGTTTAGTGTTAATTATGATTATAATTCAAGTGATCTCCAATAATAGATTTATTTGTGCATTAATATTCAATCAACATAGATAAACAGGTTTAGGGTTAATCCTAATGCTTGCATGTTAGTTAGAAAGCGCACATGAATACGATCAGAATAAAGTAGAGGCCTATTATTAGGGCAGGTTCAATCTCTTTTAGGTTGGATTTGTACCTTCATCCCCGAACCCTTATTTGGTTCAAGACCTTATGGAGTTAATGATCTCTTGGATCGTTAAGGGGTGTAACCTTCACCTCGTGAACGGTTTACAAGTTCCTAAAAAAACTTGTTGGCGACTCTTTTGCTCTATCTTCTTTCCCGTTGGATGCCACCGTACTTTAGTGTATGATTACAGTGGGGTTCAAGCTAGGGGATTAACGCTTGAAATATTCCCTACAGTTTTTGGCGACTCCACTGGGGAGGATTTCTATTTTAATTCCTGAATTTGTTTCGGCAATGATTTAGAATGAGTGGATGAGACTCGAAACGTTCTAAGTATTTCATGTGCGTAATTTTGATCAACATTATTGTCATATGCATAAAAAAAAAGATCTCATTGGAAAGACTATCCGTAATGAGTTAAAACATAGGATTTTACACGTAGGAAATTTGAGAAATATCTTTCACAACTAGGACCGAAATAACACTGCGCAAAACCGGAAAATTTTATCGATTACAGAAAGCTGCTGAGACATGTAGGAATTAACGTCAGCGAACAGAGCATTGGCGCCAGACATTTAACTATAGCGCCAGACGACAGGCTTGTCGCCAGTCGCTACAGCTAAAACCTGGCGCCAAGCTCT